GCTGGACTCTCTCTCCCCACTGGAAATACACTATCAAAACGTATATAAATATATTATAAGCGATACATAAATCAATTCTGTGGCGAAACACTCCTTCCTATTGATTGGCGACAAATACAAAGAAAATAAAACTCTGTTTTGACTAAAATCTACGAAAACTCCACGTAAAAAGTCATTATAACTGCAAATAGTTTGTTGGACTCTATGTTTTTTGTAACATTTATAGCTCACACAAAACATTTAGTACAGTATATTATGACTCCACTCTATTGAATAGAGTATATTATAAGATATTATTATTTATTTGATGACATATTGATTCGTATTTTATTTCATTTCTTGCAAACATTTAATATATCAGTGAATGTATAGGAAATACAGTGTATTTCGCTGGAAATCTGGAAATCAATTTCTCTTTTCACTGAATTAAATGCAATAAAAAAAGAAATAAAAATATTACTTTCTGTTAAATTCCAATATTTTGCTTAATTTTATATAAATATTAATCTCGTATTATCTCTTATATTATAAAATATTCAGCGTATTATGTGTTTTATTATAAATATACTTATAATAGTTGTATGAATAATAGGGAAAGAATTTCTCTAATCTTTTATTCTTTCATTTATATTATATTCACTTTCTGTGCTTTAAAAACGTGTAAATCATTAAATAATTATATATTTAGAAATAATACGATTTTGAATGCTAGTGACTAATTAGGGAAACAAGTTTTTTGAAATACAAAACCTATTTATCATTAGCTTTTCTGGTGATACAAACGCTAAGAATAATTAGTTTTCTTCGAAATAAAACCAAATATTATTAATAATTCATACGAAGATTGTAATGAAGTTTTGTATGAAAATCTTAATGAGTTATATATGATATACAAACACGAAAACACATTGTCTTGTACAATATTCAGCTCTCAAATAGAGATCAAATTAATAAATAAATAATAATTTTATTTATTTTGTTAGCCAATGGCAGACATTTCATCTGCTCTTAAAAGCGATTCACTAGTAATTGAATTACAAAACAGTATTTATATCATTAGAAACGTGTTATAAATAATTGAGTTCAACATAACAAAGAGTCCATCGGTTTTTGACTGTAGAGATAACTATCGATTACAACATATATTTTATATATATTCACATGTAATTCAATTCTTTGATACACAGAATATATTCAGTATATATGAGAGAAAAAGTCATCAATTTTTTTAAAAACACATTTTTACGAAACTAATATTTACACACATTATGTCTATTGGAAAACTAATATAATATAAAAATAATTCATTATATAATGTAATGTTACAATAAATTTGAGACATATTTTTATATATCGATTGCTATGACACGGATCTCTCTCTCTCTCTCTCTCTCTCTCTCTCTCTCTAAATATAACTACAAAATTAATTCAATTTATTAAACGCATTATTAAAATTTATTTATCGATTTATAATATACAACATTTATATTAATGATTTGTTTGACATTTGAAATTTAAAAATAGATTACACATTTTAAATACTTTAAACTACATTACCGTACAAAAATAATTAATTTTATTTTTATTCCAAGCTAATATTTTGTTAAAAGCTACTCAAATATAATTTTTTCCCAAAATAAGAAACTATTAGTCAATAATTAGTTTGATATTTTTGAGCACTCATTAAAATCTGTAATTGTTTGGCCACTCATTTGATTGACTATTACAGAGAAATTATGTGATGTTTTTGTCATTGAAAATGGTTTTAATGGTTGAGTGAATTTAATTATTTTGTATATAAGTTAATAAGGAATTTCTCATTAGACTAATACCGCGGAGTAGTACTGCCTTTCATTCAGTGTGTGCTGTGTTTTGTGAATGTCTTGTGTTTTATAATGAGCCTAAAACACGAATATCTGATTAAAATGAGTCAAAACACAACGACGAGAAGAATAGACGCCTTTTGAGGACAAAATCTTTAGAAATTTTTATATAATTGTGTCTTTAGTTTACTGTGTATTCTGGATGTGAAAGTCGTTTTCGTTGATAACCATAAGGTTTTGTCTCTGTTGAGAGTGAGTGAGTGAGTAAGAGAGAGAGAGAGAGAGAGAGAGAGTCGTGTTAATGCGATATAAAAAGCAATCAAAATAACAGAAATGTTTTAGTGAATTGAAATCAAATGTAAGAGACTATTAAAAGTGAATCTATGTTTACTTGTCTTCAATTTCCCCATTCAGTTGATTCACTCGGTTTGCCGTATTATATACGGAAAACTCATATTTTGAATCAATGACTGGAAACTAAATACAGGCCTAACGACAGAAATGACAGAAAAGTAGGAGAAATAAAAATCAATACAAATAGTAGTGAAGAATATTTAAACATATAATTTATTTTATGTTATATTTTGAATGAAACGAAAAATACTTGAAGTCATAAAAGAAAATACTATTTTTTCCAAAACATTTCAACAATATATACAATTATATTCGGTATATACTGTATATTCTTACGGCATAAACAAATATATTAAATATATTTATATCACCTGGATATACAGTCTATTAGGCGTTTGGCACTGTATTAAGTTTAATGACATTCATTCGCATTCATATGCTTGATATGTAAGCACAAAAAATATCTTTATATCGTTATATAAAATATGGTTTTATATTATATATTATTGTTATGGCTGTTGGAATATAATAGAGTTCAGGAAATTCCATACAAAACAATATTCATTAAGTTTATTGACTGACAATTCATATAAAATATCATACTCTATATAATGTAAGCAAAAACATTTTGCTAGTATCGCTCGATTTACTATAATTTATGTAAGAGTATTAAAAGTAAGTGGATGTTAGTGAGTGAGTGAGTGAGTGAGTGAGTGAGTGAGATGAGAGAGAGAGAGAGAGAGAGAGAGATCATTAGTCTCTATGCCATAGAGGCTATGGTACTGAATACTGAATATATGTCTACTTTAATGGCAAATTGTATACAAAAATCAATCCCATAGAGTAAGCGCTAATTGATAACAAACCAAGAATTGCTAATCTATTCAGTAATTCATTTGTGTATTGAATATGATTTTGTTGACGAGTTAAATGTTAACAACGATTGTGTGAAACCTTATTATTTATGTAGCATTTGTCGTATATTTTATGCTTTAAGTTCACATTTAATATTTAATACCAATCCCATTGTCATACGATTTTATTGTCCAAAATATGTCATTAATATAGTAAATAGTAAACATAGAGAGTATAGTAAAAATCAATAAAAAGATATAACAATTATTCACTTGAATCGTGGAGACATACATGTAATCAATTGATAACATATTGAAAGTTCATTGACATAGTATTGACATAATTTGAAACAAACATTATATTTCAATTCAAACTTTCAAATAAACTCATATTAATAATAAAATACAGATGTATTGATTGGTTATATAAGTCACACAACTCTACATAAAAATACGATACAAAGGGAAAATTGATATTAAAATATATTCAGTGTATTATGTATACAAAAAATTTGTTTTTTGTTACACGTCTTTCCATTTAGCAATAAATGTAATGCTTTAGTGATTTAATTTGCAAACTAAAAACTCACTACAAGGAATTATGTTTACACTACTAATGGCTAAAGAATAAGCAAGTTAGTTTTGTCGCTGCATTTGGCGACACACAATGCAAACTTTCAAACAGCAAACACACAATCGCTGAGAAATATGTGTTGGACTCGTATTTGCATAAAATATAATTAGAGTTTTGTATTGTGTCTGCAACTGAAGGATTCAATTATATTCCCAGTCTATCAGTCGTATTGGGAATAATCGGCGAGTTTTATCAGTTAGTGTTTGGTTTGGGTTTTCGCAAATAAAATCGCAAATTATATTCTGAATGCAAAATCAATGCAAACACATCCGACGACTTTCAAGAATATTCTGTTTGTGTTTTGAATAATACATTCAATGAGGAGTTCAAACATCGAGTTTAAAGTGTATATAAAGTTTTTGTTGATAAAGAAAAATGACAATAAGATTATACAAAGTTTGTGATGGATTTGAATACTATGTTTGAATGTAAAATAAAGCTTCAGTTGCGATGAATAACTTTAAGATTATATTAAACTTATAGTTATATCCGGGAAACTTAAAGTTATTAAAATATAGTTATATCTATGATAAATTATTTTTAGGCACACAATTAAGTAGTAATTAACAAACTAATGTTATTTAAGATTTATTGGATTATATGTGAATTAAGAGAAAATCCTATTTCTAGTAATAATCCTTCAGATGTGAAAACAAATGGATCCGTTGAGACCATTGGCCACCAATTATCAATAATAAGATATTTTGAGGATTTAATAGATTTATAAAAGTAAAGGTTATATGTGAATGTAATCACCATTGATTATATTACTGTAACTTAACATTAGATTTGGTTGAGAATATACTGGTAGTTTTATGTAGGTATAAAAATCTAGTAAACTTATTTTTAGAATTTAAATCAAAAATTTTTAACACCCATGTTTAATCTGACAAAAGCATTTGCCTAAAAATATCCAAATGAATGACATGAGTAGGAAATTATATTCTAGATAAAAAGTATGTATCACATAATAAAATATAACATTCAATTTAATATTTTTCTATAAATATCTCATTTCTATAAATAATTTTAATTAGATTGTATAAAGCCTGAACTTACTTGTTAGATAACTACATCTCATAATATAAAATTAATTAACAAAATAATTTTGACATTATGTTAGATAAAAATTAATGTAAAAAAGGATGACAACTTGCGTAACATTTTTATTTAAAAATCATTACAATTTATAATTATGTTTCAATAATTTAAGTCAAAACAGTGAGTTAACATTTAGACCAGTGTTAAGGGTAGTTGATTGGTAATTATGTGTAATTAAAGGTTAAATGTTAATTTACTTATAAAATATTCACTTTGTTGGTCATTAAAAATAAATTACAAGTGAATTAAGAGTAGATATAAAGCCATTCCTATGGCTACTGATGTGCCAAAAGAGATATCATATGAATCTGAAGTATAACTTTCAATCTTGGGTTCAATACTATTATCACCGGAATGGTAGGTGGGGTAGGAATCTAAGCTATGGTTTGTATTGTCCATATATGGGGAATCTAAGGGATTCCTTTCAGGTATGTTTGCCTCAGTAGTCCATTCACTGGGTTTATTGTTTGGCATATCAATTGGGATCTCCTTAACAGGACTTATTGTGGTATCAGTGGAATTGGTGGTCATATCCGGGTATAACTGCGAGCACTCGTTGGCAGTTATAAATGCCGAGGAATCACATGCGACCGACAGTTCCTGTTTTCTGTTTGTTATTAAGATATCCACCACATCTGACCAAGGTCTATGACATTGGGCCATCACCACACTGTCCACACAATCTCGATAAATGAGTGCCACACTAATTTGTACATAAATACATGATTTGTTTATAATATAACTATAATAACTACAGTATTAGTATTGTAATACAAACCAACAAAACTTTTGTCTGATCTCATGAAAGCGATGGAAACTTAAGACAATTTTTTTATTCTGGATATACCTGTCCTCACAGTCCGACACATGATTAGCACATTTTTGAAGACATGAGTCCATAGTTAAGGAATATTCTGGTCTCAACTGATCGGACATTTCATTTGCTTCAGTCGTGTCTGTAATTCATAATCAAAAGTATAGTTAATATGAAAGCATTTAATTAAATTAAGTTTATGACAAATATTGTCAAGTGATGTGTAAACCAATATTGATTAGAAAACTCTGTTTAAATTAACATGTTTTTGGTAAACATAGCCCTAAAAAGTTAATGAATTTCTATTGTCTAATCAAACAAAACTGTTTTATTCAGAAAAGACTTACAAAAATACACGAAAGCGTACGACAAGAGTAGAAAAGTATTTTTACAAAATAAATTATATGTCATTTTTGAATAAAAAATGCAACAAAAAAAATACAATTCAATTCAATTCACTATCTGACACAAGACTTATTAAATTTACAATTTCAATTTTCTGTCAAAAACCTTATCTTTTCAATAACTATAGTCGTGAATAAAAAAATAAAAATCGCGTTTAATAAGCGCCTAAAACAATTTCATACAACAGATAATATACTGTATTATATTTTTGTATAAATCGCTAAATTCAAAGTCTAGTGTGTGATATTATTATAAATTTTACTTGATATAGTTATAATTTTAATTTATTATATGAAAACAAATTTTTATGTTTATACATTTTTCATATAAAATTTTAGGAATTTGTCGTATATTTTAAAAGACTAACTTTTAAATTATGAGTAAAATTATTTATGATTTTAATGAGTTTTAAAGGTTATATGAAAGTTAAAATAGTTTTGAAACACCTATTTTTGAAATATTTTCGACTAATTACCAAAAAATACAATTGATTTTAATTAGAAACGCTTTCCTTATTTGCGATAATAATTAAAATTGTCTAATATTTATTTAAATATAAAGTATTCAACGGAGTGTATGTTAACTGAAAATCATGTATTGACTGTGCGTTTGGTGTTTGGTTTTTGCAAATAAAGCGAAAAATTTATATTCAGAAAACAAAATGCAAACTAAAAATCAATGCAAACATCCTATCATTGGAAATGCATATAAAACGGCTGAGATTTGTGTGAATTGTGAGCCAAACCTTCAACAGAAAGGATCAAACAAATAGTGAACGAAAACGAAAGAAATGATATTTTATACTATAAAACACAAAATAATGTCAAAAAGTTTTTGCCCAAATTGTTTAAATAAGAGATACTAAAACTTTAGGACAAATATAAAAAAAAACTCACTAAAAGAGCAAACACAATTTTCAAGATATATTTTATTTATTATAACTGTTTTATACTATATTTTTGAGAGCTTTTTACACACAAATATATCTTTAATATCGAAACAATTTTTATCAAATAATTCACAAACTTTTTTCCGCTGCAACTGAATGCGAGTCAAATCAATATTGAGAGACAGAAAAAAACTTTAATTTTATTTATGTAAACAAATAAAAAACAATATTTTTTGGCTCAAAAACTTTTTTGCTCTTATGTTTACTCTAGAAAACACTTCGTCTGGTAATTGAATTACAAAATAGAAACTTATTTTTATTATTTATAAACGTTTTTATAATTTATAAATAATTTAATTCACGGATAAAAAGT